GTTTTTTGAAGCAGGGTTTCTCTGTGTAGCTTTGTGCCTTTCCTGAATCTCACTCTGTAGACCAGGCTGGCCTCGAACTCACAGAGATCCACCTGCCTCTTGCCTCCCGAGTGCTGGGATTAAAGGTGTGTGCCACCGACGCCCAGGAACTCTTTTATTTATTTTTATTGTGTATGAGTGTTTTGCCTGAATGTATGTATCTATCACATGCATGGCTGGTGCCTTCAGAAGTCAGAAGAGGGTGTCAGATTCCCTGGACTGGAGTTACTAGGTTGTAAACTACCACATTGGCATTAGGAATCAAACTCTAGTTCTTTACAAGAGCAATAAGTGCTCTTAACCACTTAGCCAACTTTCTAGCCATTTGTATTTTATTGAGGATTTTTACAGTTGTGTATCAAAGTAATTGGTCTATAGTTTTTTGGTTTCTGGTTTTTGTTTTTTTTTTTTTTTTTTTGAGACAGGGTTTCTCTGTGTAGATTTGGTGCCTGTCCTGGATCTCGCTTTGTAGACCAGGCTGGCCTGGAACTCACAGAGATCTGCCTGCCTCTGCCTCCCCAGTGCTGGGATTAAAGATGTGCTTCCCGCCATCCCCTGGCTTCTTATTTCTCTTTTCAAAGAACAGATTCTATTAATTGATCTTTTATATTTCCTTTTAGTCTCTGTTTCATTAATTTCTACCTTGATCATTTCTTTGTATTTCTTTGTATCTATTAATCGGGTTGGCTTGTTCTTGTTTCTTAGGCCTTAAAGTGTGCTGTTAGGTTATTTATTTGAGATCTTTCTGATTATTTAATATAGATACTCAGCTGTGAGTTTCCCTCTTAGCATTGCCTTTGCTGTATCCAAAAGGTTTTGTTAAGTTTTATGTCCATGTTGATTGACTCTAGGAATTTAAAATTTCATCTGATTTCTAAAAGGGCCATTCAGAAATATATTTCTCACTTCCCGTTTTTTGTATAGTTTTCATGGTTTCTCTTACTGTTGATTTCTAATTTATTCTATTACAAACTGTTTCAGATTCTTTAAATTGATATATTTCATTAGTCTAAAATGTGATCTATTAGGCCAGTGAGATGGCCCAGTGGGTAAAAGTGCTAGTCTCACTTGGTGCATGCCTTTAATATGAGCACTTAGGACATGTGAGTTCCAGCCTAGCCTGGTCCATAGTGAGTTCCAGGCCAGCCAGGGCTACATAATGAGATCTTGCCTGGGGGTGGGGAGTGGAGTGCTTGTCTCCAAGACTGATGACCAGAGTTCAGTTCCTGGATCTCAAGGTAGAAGAAGACAGTTGACCCATGAAAGCTGTCCTCTGACCTCCATACGCACACCACACACACACACACACACACACACACACACACACACACACACACACACACACACATAACAACTTTATTTTTAAACATCTATTTTAGAGAAAGTTCCATGGGCTGCTGAGAAGAATGTTCTTAGCCTCTGAGCCATCTCTCCAGCCCCCTTTGGCCACTTTTGGCTTAAAATCTGCTTTGTCAAATGAATGTAGTTGGGATTAAAGGTGTGTGCGCCACCATGTCTGGTACTTTGGTTTTAAAATATGGCTTTGGGGCTGGAGAGATGGCTCAGCCGTTAAAGGCTAGGCTCACAACCAAAAATATAAAATATGGCTTTGCTGGATTTGTAATTTTGGTTGGAATTTATTTGAAATATATTAGCCCCGTTCTCCTGGCTTCTATGTTTTCTGTTGAGAGGTCTTCTTCTGAGAGGTCTGCTGTTACTCCACTAGGTTTGTCTTGTCAGTTGGCACTTCCCTCATGAGGGGCCTGGGCCTGGCCTGGAGCCGTAGACTGTTTCTTTTCTCTGCTCTACCTTTCATTTCCTCATGCTCGTTCATTGTCCTGTCCTTCTGGATTGGTGACGTCCTTTTTCCTCTGGAATATGGCTGTCACTTGATACCCTCTCATCCCCCAGCTCGATGGAAGAAGATTCTGGGGCACCATTTTACACCAGAAGAACCATTAAACTTTTGTTTTTTACCTCTGGAACTTGGGAGGCAGAGGCAGGTGGATCTCTGTGTGTTTGGGGCCAGCCTGGGCTACATAGTGAGACTCTGTCTTTAAACTCTGCCCCCGTTTTCTTTTCCCAGTGGCAGGGCATCTGACTGAGATTTCATCCTTGCTAGCATGGTTGGTTACTTCACTTTCAGATTATGATCATTCTAGTGGACATGAAATGGTATCTCATTGTGGCTTCAGTTTGCATTTCTCTAATTCTGGTGCCATGAAGTATCTTCTCATTTACTAATGTGTGATTTCTATATCTTCCCTGGAGAAATTCCCAGATCCTTTGCTCATTTTAAAACTGGATTATTTGTCTTACTGACTTGTGTGAGTTCTTCAGATGTTCTAACCAACCCATGGTTTGCAGGAATTTTCTTCCGATCTCTGGGCTGTCTTTTTAATTTTTTTTAGTTGGATTATTTGAGGCACATTTTTTTTTTAAAAAAAAAAACATTTTGAAGTCCAAGTTTGTATTTTTTTTTTCTTCTTTTGCTTGTATTTTTGGTGTTGGACTCCACTGCCGAAGTTCAAGGTCTGGGCTTTTGTCATGGAGGACCAAATGTAGAACAAGCCATATGCTTAAGTTCACCAGGTTGGTTCTTTGTGATGCTTGCTTTTGGGTAGAATGTAAAGCTATGTCATACTCACTGTCTTTCTGTCTGTCAAGGTGATATTATTTTTTTTTTGCCACTTTTATTATTCTGTGGTATGGAAATTACTTTCTTAACTCTAAGCATTATAACTATGCATTTTTAAATCTTTCAACATTAAAAAAATATTTTTTGTTAGGCTTAGAATCCTCAAACTCAGTGCTGCCTAATAAAGGTAAGATTTCTTAGAACAAGTTTCAAAACAAAATAAGAGAATCTTATTTTCCAGGTCTTTTTCTTCCTCCCCCTCCCCTCAGGGTTTCTCTAGTTGTCCTGGAACTTGCTCTGTAGACCAGGCTGGCCTCAAACTTTGATGTGCCTGCTTCTGTGTCCCAAGTGCTGGGATTAAAGGCATGTGCTACACACCTGGCTTTGTTTTCTTCTTTTTTTTAAAAAAAAAAGAAAGAAAGAAAATCTGGGCTGGTGAGAAGCCTAGGTGCCTGCTGCCAAGTCTGCTGGAGTCCCTAGGACTCACATGTTGGAAGGAGAACACCCCCTCACACATGCCGTATGCCAGGGCCTGTAAACTCACTCACGTGTGCAGACGTAAAACAGTGAGTGAAAATTGTTATTGTTTGAAATTATTTAAAAATTAAATGTGAGCTGGTTACAGTGATTTGGCCCTTTAATCCCAACACTTGGAATGCTGGGACAGGAGGATTGCTGTGTGTTTGAAATGCTAGTGCTACATAGTAAGTTCTAGTCTCTGTCTCAATGCATTATAAATTCATCGTTTTATAAGTTTCTTGTAGTCCTGTCTTTCCTTAAATCCTATCAGATTTAAGTTCTACCTATTTTTTTTTCTATGTACATATTAACATTACTATTAGTGGTTTGTTGTTGTTTTACTTTTAAAGATACAGTTGTTTATCATGCCCTCCACTGCTCACAGCTGTGGTCTAGCCTAGGCCTGCACTCTGGTGAAAGCTCTAGATCCTTTCTTAACTGGTAATTACTGATACAGAAGGCTTGGGGAACTCATGCCTTAGCCGTGAGCTTTAAATAACTTCACCACCACCTTCACCTTTGGTAAAACTTTCCTTTTGGGTTGGAAAAAGTTCTGTTCTCTAGAGAATTTTTATTCCTAGATTTAAAAGCTATCTAAGATGAGCATGGTGTTGCTTTCCTGCAATCCCAACACTCTAGAGACTATGGTAAGAGTTCATGAATTTGAAGCCAGATGGGCTATGTAGGGAGTCCAGGCCAGCCTGGGCAGCTTAGGTAAGCCCCGTCCCAAAACCTAGATGCATGTGAGTCATTAGAGAGCTGTTTGGGAATGTTAATTTGGGTTTGCTTGAGGAAATGATTAAATTTCCAGATTTAAAATTTTTGGGAAAAGAAGCCAGATATGATGGCATATGCGTGTAATTCCAGCACTTGGGAGGCAAAGGCAGGTAGAGCTTTATGAGTTTGATGCCAGCCTCTCTCAACAAAACAAAAATGGTGGTGGGGGCATATAAGCTTGTCACCTTAGAAAGCCTTTCTTTGTGAGGTCAGTGGGTCATTACTTACTGACACAGTACTTTGCCTAAGAAGATTTTCAGTGAGCGTTTGAATGTGTGAATAGGTAAGTAAATGTATTTCATCCTGCATTTACACTTGTTCCTGGGTGTTTCTCTTTTTATCTTCTTGAAGGTATTCTTCCTAGTGAATTTTGTGTGGAAAGTTATGTAACTTTTTATTTTTTCTGCTCATAAAAGAGCTTTGAGGGGAAAATGTAGTTCACAACACAACTTTTTTGGTCGTGTTGGATGTGTTTGCAAAACACTATGTGGTCATTGAAATTTACAGTCAAAATATTTTAATCATGTGAAACATAAATCTTCAGCTTCTCTCACCTTCACAAATCCAGCAACCTCTTGTGTGCTGAATGCAGGTGCTCCGGGAACTGGTGTTAAAATATCGTGAGAACATCATTCATGTGCGGACTGCAGCAGACCACATGGAAGAGAAGCTGAAGGCCGAAATACTTTTCCTGAAAGAGCAGATTCAAGCAGAACAGTGTTTAAAGGAAAACCTTGAAGAGACTCTACAGCTGGAAATAGAAAACTGCAAGGAGGAAATAGGTGAGAAAAAACTGTCACTTGGGGACTGGGGAATGTAGCTTTGTTGGTATAGTGCTTGCCTGGATACAGGAAAATCAGAAGTTCAAGGCTAGCCAAAACTACAGGAGACTATCTTATAAAGCAAGCTAACAAACAAAAAGCGATTCATCAGTAAATAACACTGAGAATAATGTCTGACCATGGACGTAGAGAGCACTTGTATAGGAAAGAACACCTGTCCTAGGTGTTCAGATGGACAGTAACTGTGAACTCGCCCTGCCCCTCAATCCTCTGTCCTTTTTTGAATTCTGATGGTAATGCAGCCAAAGGCCACTGGGTATCAGGGTCCCACGGGCAGCATTTCCTTACAGAACTTCCTTGCTAACAGCATTGCTTTCCTACAGTTAGGTGTGGACACTTGGTAGAAATTTAGGTTACCATACAGTGTGCATGTGTAGTTGGCCTTTCCCTGAGCCTAGTTATAGTATCAGTTCTCTGGTACAGTTTGAGAGAGAGCACTTTCCTCTACAGTGTATCTCTGACTCCTTTGGGGACATTTTAAGGGGAAAAAAAATGAAAAAAAAATAAATAAATGATTGCTAACATTTCTCCCTTTTGTCCTAGCTTCCATTTCTAGTCTAAAAGCTGAATTAGAAAGAATAAAAGTTGAAAAGGGACAGGTGAGTCACAAGTTTAAAATGAATTCTATCAACATGCAGTGGTTACTTATTAATCCTGTGCTAGAACAAAGAAATGAAGATAGCTGAGGCATAATCCCTGCTTTTAAGAAACTTGTGTCTAGTGGGAGCATGTGGGGTGGTGCTGGAGAAGATGGGGCGAGGGTCACTCTGTGCTGCCCATGTGGTGATGGGCAGAGTGTGGATGCAGAGCGACCTCCCCTGGTGCGCTCACTGCATGACTGTGCTGCACTGCAAGTCGGGGCACAGTTGTACCCCCAGGACATGATGTTTCCTCATTCCCTCAGCAGTGTGGTAGACGAGCCCATGCTGCCCCTAGCCTCAACAACTTCCTGGCTTTGCTTTCTTTCCTCTTAAGCTGCATATTACATGGCTTACAGGCTCTTTAGTTGGCTTCCCATCCACACCCTTGTCTTCCAACTCTTTGCTGCCCTCACCCCACTGTTGCCTAGTTCTGGATTAGGATTGTTGTTTCAGGAAGCCAAGGCTCCCAGAATTGGTGGCATCTCATGCCCTTGCTGCCATGGGCTCCAGTATTCCTAGACAGTCTTGGATTTGTCCTAAGATATGTCCCTTCCATTCTTCACAATAGCTCTTTCAGTCTCTTTCCTCTCGGGTCCTTCACTGCTTAGTCTTTAGGGCCACTTGGAGCCCAGGTTCCTCAGTTACATGCCCTCCCACTTGATTATCAGACTTTCCTTTGAGATAAAGTGATGGCCGTTTCTCACCATAGTGTAATACTGATGGGTGCCTTCACTGGCCCCTCTCAGTGTTCTCTAACTTTGTTAGAGTGTTCTCTAACTTTGAACGTCTGCCTCTTGATTGGTCTTTCTTCCCATTGTGTACAGAATTGCCCAGCTGTTTCCCAGTAAGAGGGAAAAAGTGAGATGGATGTGGGACACACATCTGTAATCCCAGCACTCAAGAAGCTGAGGATTCAAGTTTGAGGCTAGCCTGTGGTACATAGGAAGATGGCCTTTCCAAAGAAAAAACAAAGTTTCTCTTTGAATTATACATCTCTACTCAGTCATTATTTCTCCAAGGTTCTTGAAAGAGTGCTGCCCTCCACCTGACCTCCGTGGTACTTCTCTACCACAGTCAGCCTTTGTTTCCACTCTGCTATAGAGGTCTCTCTAGATCACACTGCAGAGATGACCGGCGCCCAGGCCTGAGGGTGTAGCTCAGTAGAAGAGCACTTTCCTAGCACTGACAAAGAAGATGCCCGGCTCAGAGGGGCCGCCTTCTTCCCTCCACTGTCGTTTGGGGTCAGACTTTGTACTTTTTGTTTGGTGGCTCTGGGAATTGAATTCATGTGTATGCTAGGTAAGTACTGTTCCCCCAAGTTACACCCCCACCTCTGAGATGTCACTTCTCATCAGCCTGTCTTGTTTCCTAAGAGGCCTCCGAACTGGAGCCTGTTCCAGTTCATCTCTGTATCGAAGCCAGGCTGTCTAGTCTTTTTGAAGTCTTTAGCAGTTGAAGACAAGTCCATGTCCTTAGTGCCGAGGTCTCTCACCTCAGGATTCTCAAGACTTGCAGATTCCCAGCCCCGCACTGCTGCAGGCAACCAGAGCTCACCGTCCTCGGGCAGGGCAGGCATTCTGTTTTTGGAACATCTCTTTACTTTCTTTACCTTGTCACCCTTTCCTTCCCTTGCAAAAATGTTAATCTATGCTGGCAGTGCAAAGAGAGGAAACAGGAGAACCACAGGTTCAAGGCCTGCCTAGGCTACAGAGCTCAAAACCAGTTCAAAACCAGCCTGAACAACAAAACCAAGATCCTGTTTCAAAGGAGTTAGGGGTGGCGATGAGTGATGACATGCTTGCCTAGCCTGTGAGACCCCAGGTTCAATCCCCAATACTAAAAGCAAAAGTCAGTCATCATCTCTTCTAGAAAATATTGTCCAATTTCCTCCCTGTATTAAATGCTGCTCCCTTTATGTTGATATGCATTAGTTATTTCCATGTCTTGTTTCTCCTGACTTCTCAGTTTCAGGCCTTAGTACGAGAATATGGTAGGTACCTAATAAATAGGCAAAGACCAGGTTTGGAAGAACAAAAAGAATCTACACTCTGAAGCTTGAGAAGAGCATTCCAAGAGCAAGCCTAAGTCTGAGCACAGCACTCTGGGTTGCAGACACTTCTAGATAGTACTGCATGGCCTCCAAAGTTTCTGTGAGCTTCAGTTTTCCCTTTTGATTCCCTTTCCACAGTTGGAATCTACATTAAGAGAGAAGTCGCAACAACTGGAGAGTCTCCAAGAAATAAAGGTTAATTTAGAGGAACAGTTAAAGAAAGAAACGGCTGCTAAGGTAATTATGTTTATTGGTCATCTGATTTAAAAAACAAGGCTAAGGCATGGCCGCAAAAACCTTTAATTCCAGCACTAGAGAGGCAGAGGCAAGTAGATCTGTGTGAGTTCAAGGCCAGCCTGGTCTACAGAGTGAGACCCTTTCTCAAGCAAACAAAAATTACAAAAAACAAAGTGGCCTAGAGAGATGGGCTAGTGGTTAAGAGCCTGGCTACGCTCAGAGGACATGGGTTCAATTTCTAGCACCTACATGTTGTATTACAACGATCTTTTTAACTCTCCTCACAGGGGATCCAGTGCCGCCTTCTAGCCTCCATGGGCATTGCAGGCACATGGCACACAGGCATATGTATATACGAAACACCCATACACACATATTTTTAAAAATTAAAAAAAGAATGTAGGAATTCATCTTATCTATTTAGAAAAAACACAACTTTTCTGTTTGCAGTTATATTCTGAAAGTTAGTTCTTCTAGCAACTTGCAAAAAGAAAATGACTTTAATGTCCCTAGAGTTGGGTTAAATCTTCCCTCTGCCAGTTCTGGGGGCTTAGGTCATAGGCTTTAATGGTTTCAGGTGGGTGATAAGAATCATTGAACCTGGAGCTGAAGAGATGGCTCAGTAGTTAAGAACACTGGCTACTTTTATACTGGACTCATGTTCAATTCTCAGCACGCACATGGTGGCTCACAACAGTCTCTAACTCCAATTGCAGATTTGACATACTTTTCTGGCATATACATTGCGCACATACACATATGCAAACAATCACTTATACATACAAAATGGAATAAACATTTATTGAACATAACTTGGACAGTGCTCTGAGCTGAGTTTAGTTGTAGACCACTTGCCTAGCATGTGTGAGACCCTAGTTTCTTTTTCTTTTTTAAAGATTTATTTATTATGTATATAGTGTTCTGTCTGCATGTATATCTACACGCCAGAAGAGGACATCTCATGATGGGTGTGAGCCACCATGTGGTTGCTGGGAATTGAACCCAGGACCTCTGGAATATCTTAACCTCTGAGCCATCTCTCCAGCCCGAGGCCCTAGTTTCAATACCCAGACATGGAAGGAGGAGAGGCTGCTTTGGAAATGTTCCTCCTTTCCATCCCTATATCAAGTGCTAAGATTACCTTGAAGCAGATTTCCAGATTGTCTTGGGGCTGTGTAGAATAAAAATGCATGTGGCTGATTATGGTTTTGATTATGAATTTGAATTATGAAAATGCATTGCCCAGACATGCTCTTAATGAGCTGTGTTGGTGCTCAATAGATTCTTGTTTTTTTAGAAAAAGGCTCCCATGCTTTTGAGTAAGGAAGGCTAGAGGTAGCTGGGGCTGAATGGCCTATATTAACTAGATGTTAATCCTAGTAATTCTCAGAGGAGTTTCCCTTTTAAGTGTCTATGTGTTGCTGTGACAGCTGTTGATCTTGGGAGTGGGGACACAGCACTCAGGATACATTTCTTATCCTGGTTTTATACCTGGAGCAAGTAACCTACTCAACTGGCACTGTTGCCCTATGGAAAGAGAGAATGGGTTGTGGGGGAAATGGATCAGCAGGTAAAGGTGCTTGCTGCCATGCTGCCAAGCTGGATAACCAGCATTTGATCCCTGGGACACACATAGTGGAAAGGGAGAACCAGCTCTCTTAAGGTTGTTCTCTTGACCTCCACCAGGGAGTGCTTCCCACTCCACACTGCTCCACACACAGTAATGGAAATGAAAGAAGTAACTGGGGGCAAAGCTGGGTTGGTAGAGTGCTTGCCTGGCATGCCCGAGTCCCTGAGGTTTGATCTCCAGCCCTGCAGCAGACTGGGTGTGTTGGCAGTCGGTAACCACACAAGACGGCGGCAGGCAGATCAGAATTCAAGCTCATTTTCAGCTGTAGTAGAGCAAGTTCAGGGGCTAGTTTGGGTTACAGGAGACCTTGCCTTGAAGAAATAAAGGTGGGAACCAGCAAGGCAGCTACAAGTACTTGCTGCCAAGCCTGAGTTTAATCCCTGGGGCCCACGTGGTAAAAGGAGAGTTGACTCCTGCAACTTGTCCTGTGACTTCCACTTGTGTGCTGTATTACACACACACACACACACACACACACACACACACACACACACACACACACACACAAAGTCAGAAGAAAAATAAAAATGTAGTTAAAAAAGATTAATGGGAAGGATTGTATGAGCCAGAGGGGTCAGGGTCATCACTAGGGAACCCACAGAATCAACTGGCCTGTTCATGGGAGCTCAGACTATGGACTGACAGCTAGGGAGCCTGCATAGGACCAGCCTAGGCCCTTTACGTATGTGTGATAGTTGTGTGACTTGGTCTGCTTGTGGGGCTCTGGCAGTGTGAGCATGGCTGGTCCCTAACACATTGGCTTTGGGAACCTGTTCCTAATGCTTGGTTGCCTTGCCCAGCCATAATACAAGGAGAGGAACTTAGTCCTACCTCAACTTTGTTGGCACCCATGGGAGGCCTGCCCCTTTCTGAACAGAGGTAGAAGAGCGGTGGATTGGGGAGGAGGGGACAAAGGAGAGGTGGGAGGAGGGGGAGCTGTGGTTGGGATGTAAAATAAATGAAAAAAATTAATAAGAATGAAAAAAGATTAGTGGAATATGGAGGTATTTTTTTTTTTTTTTTGGTTTTCCGAGACAGGGTTTCTCTATGTAGCTTTGCGCCTTTCCTGGGACTCCCTTGGTAGTCCAGGCTAGCCTCGAACTCACAGAGATCCACCTGGCTCTGCCTCCCGAGTGCTGGGATTAAAGGCGTGCGCCACCACCGCCCGGCTGAATATGGAGGTATTATTCAGGTCTTTGCTGTAGTAATAGGAAGAGTTGAGGATATAGCTTGGTGGCGTAGAATGATTGCCTACCAACAAGCTATGGCCCTGGGTTCAATCCTTAGTACAAAAAAGAAAGAAAGGAAAAACTTACAGCTTCTCTTAGTCAGTAACTAAAGTTCCTAAGTAATTTTAGGAACTCTGACTCTGGCATTAATCTTCACTCAAAACTTGTATTTTTTAGGCTACTGTTGAACAGCTCATGTTTGAAGAGAAGAACAAAGCTCAGAGGTTACAGACAGAATTAGATGTCAGTGAACAAGTCCAGAGAGATTTTGTAAAACTTTCTCAGACTCTTCAGGTGAGGTGTTTGGGGGACTACCATGGCCCTCTGTGGGAGGGGGCACCAGTGTAGCTGGAGGTCTCTGGACTGCCTGTCTCTACCTCAGATACCTGCTGAATCACTCAAGCAGGAGCTTGGTCTGTTACAGACTTGGCCCCTTTCTCCTTTCCCTTCTACCTTGCCAGTTTTTGCCTCAAGAGTGTAAATGGTGTGGGCGCTGGAGGGGCAGAGGGATACAATCTGTTACAGAGATCAGTGAATCTGGTGAATTTTAAAAGTATGTTTTTTTCTTTCTTTCTTCCTTCCTCTTTTCTTTGAAGAGCCTAATCTGGTGAATTAATCTGCTGCATGTCAACTAAAATGGTCGAGTTAGAGGGGACGTAGGTAGGGCATCACCTGCACTCATCTCAACGTTGTTTCTCCAGGTGCAGTTAGAGAGGATCCGGCAAGCAGACTCCTTGGAGAGAATCCGGGCAATTCTGAATGATACCAAATTGACAGACATTAACCAGCTCCCTGAGACATGACACCCTGGTAGCAGGATTCTAACCTGCATTTTGGGTTTTTAACTCATCTTTAGAATAACATTAATTATTATTAACTCTTAATGGAAGAAGTCACAGCAAAAGGACGACTGGAGGGAGAAGGCTGCTGTGCGCGGGGACAGCCAGCAGGTGTCTCACGGGAACACTAATGGGATACCGGACTTGATTCCAGCAGGTGTGGGATCAGACTTGGTGCCAGGAAAGTGCGGTTTCCTTGCCTGCTTTCTCCAGCACGGATTCTGGAACACATCTCCTGACATGAAAGCAACTCCCCTAGTGTTTGGAATTACGTTTCTGTTCATACAAACTGGGAGAGAGAAGTTTCTTTTTTCTGTTGTCTAGGGCTCATCAGTAGCAGTGTTCAGCTAGCAGAGAAGTGTAGTGTGCTGTATGAGTATTTTATATTAAAATATGAAGTGTGAGAGCAGGCCATTGGCTATTGACTGTATTTCCCTCGCTCAGTGCATTTTTTTTTTCTTTTTACCATTTTATCTTCTATTGGAGGACCTTAAATGCTACTGAAACTTGCCTGAGAACTATAGGACCATGGCAAACAAAAAAGCAATTCAACAAAATTAGGAGAATCTGAATACTTGGCTAAGGCCATATATATTGGAAGTTGAATTGAAGGAAAAAAGCACAAGAAACCTTGGAAGCACTTTTTCTGCACACCGGGATGAACCTCCTGGGCCCACAGGTACCACAGCAAAGGAGAACTGGCACCACCTACCCTTTCGAAGTGTTTTAGTTACTGGATCAGTGGAAAAAATAATATTAATAAAACAAGCTATCTCTGACATCTAGTACACATGTATAAATCTGCTTATTTTCAGCCTGCCTCAGAGGCATACTATTTAAAGTGTCCCACATAGAATGGTGATGGTTTACAGATCTTTGTGTTTTTGTTTTACAGTTTAGACCTACAGTATAAGTGACCATGCTTACAGTCGAGCTGAGGAAACTTACTAGTTTAGAATCTGCTTCATTCTTTCCCAAGAGTTGAGATTCCTTTCCTATGTGGAGAAGCTGCCAGTGGATAGCTGTATGAAATGGTGTGGAAATCAGAAGTGTGCTCGTTTACTGCGTACCCGCCGCAGACCACCCTGAGAGCAGCCGTGGACAGCTAGCTATGCTATTAACTCATGCCTTTGAAAGGCAGTGTTTTCAAGTCATGCTCGTGAGGGGTGTTGGCTTACAGCTGGTACCCAAAGGAACACCATGGAAATGAGTGAACTAGACTTTCCAGGCTTACCTACCATCAATTCATAACATAAATGGACTTTGTAGTGAGTCATAAATTTGCCCTCAAAGTCTTTGCTATTTCCTTTCATAAGACAGATAAGGCCTCTATTACCCCATCCCATAGGTTATTTTTTATAATCTTGTGTTCATGATTATGAATTTAAAAGTAAATATGAATTGCAGAAATAGTGCTAAAGGCTTGCCAATGCATGGAAACCTTAATTGGCTTAAAGTCCCCTTGTATACAGTACCACTTGGTTTAAAAGAAACATAGTATCCTCATTGAGTTAAAGGGATTTTATTAATTATAATGTGATTAAATTAGATTTAAGACTAGTCCTTGGGCTCCAAGCTAATTTGTTTTGGATCACTGTCAGCCACAGTGGATGGGTAATTATCATCATTCTGAACTGTCACTCCACGTGAGCTGTTCTGCTGAGACCAAGCATCTTACAGACACTTTTCTCCAGAAGCTGGAGATTGAGCAATAAAGACATCACGATTAGGGAATTGTTTGTAGAATCTGTACTTGTGGCAAATGCAAACTGCTGGGATCCTCTAGAAACACATTCTAAAGGAACAGAAACTAAAACGCTAGTTTTTAATAACTTGTCTGTGGTATGAAATAAACTGCTGCTACACCACCAGGTAGGAAACTGTTCTTTAAATTTATGTTCTGCATAAGTAAGATCTGATTTAGAAGGTGGGATTCACCCTGAAAGGGAAGATAGTCTGGTTCCATACATGTTCCAGTGCTGCATTCAGTCTGTGCAGACCTGTTCTCTTGCATGTCTAACCTGGCTTACCAATAACTGTAACTTATCATGTGGCTTTTGATTGTCAGTCACTCGGTTGTTTCTAGGCAGGTTTGTAAGTACCATACTTACCTTTCAGAACTCGAACTGGCAGGTATGAAAGATGACCTAAAGCCGAGGACAGAATACCCATGACAGAACACACTGTCCCTTCTCCTTTAGGTGCTAGAATACCGAGTAGACATAGCCATAGGCAAACTGAGCTCTGAGAGGTAAGCATGTCTGTGAGGAAATGAGCCAGCAGAGGACTGCAACTGTCTGCTCTGCTCTGCTCTGGCAGACTGCAGGTGGGTGTGTCTGTGTTAACTGGACTGAAGGCATGTCCTTAAGAAAGTATTCACATTAAAAGAGCTGCTGCTGAGGAGACTGTGTGGCCTTTTCCTTTGCATCCTAGGGTTCTGGCTCCCTTCGGAGGTAGTTTTGATGCTACTACTTAAGATGCAGAGCTTAATCTGGCAATGTGCAGCTGAATTTTGAAAAATAAATCATAGACATTAATTATAATGCAAAGTCAAATTCTGAATAAAAATTTATTCAAATATTACAAAACAAAAGGCATAACAAAAGAATAACCACAGCAAAGTTTATCCACAATGCTTCTTTATAAATTAGATCGTGCTACCTGTCTGTCTGACAGCACGGGCTTGTAAGTCTGCAGTTGTGCTCACTTCAGGCCGTGTCAGAAGTTGACGTGATTTCGGATATCGTTGATTTGCTTCACCATTTCCCTTATGTGTTCACCCCTGCAAAATCATCAAATAACTCACTTAAAACAAATGAATGAGCCATTAGTACTGAGTTGTATGTTTTTTCCCCCTACTCCCAGCTCTGAGTCAGAGTCTCTGTGTAGCCCTGGTTATCCTGGAACTTACTCTGTAGACCAGGCTGACCTCAAACTCAGAGACCTGTCTGCCTCTGCCTCCAGAGTGCAGGGATTAAAGTCTGGCACCATGTGCAGGAGTCTAAGAATTTAAACTCTCAGTGTTGCAATAGACTTAAGAATGGCTTTCTTAATACTGGATAGCTTGAAAGGGTTTCAGGTGGACAGTGGTGGTTGTCTGTGTGGTGTTGGGGACTAAGCCCAAGGCATCACACATTAGACAGATGCTGTGCCACTGAGCTATAGTACAGCCCCAGGAACACTGCTAACCACATTCCCGGGACGTACTTTTCATTACACAACAAAACTGTATTATAGGAGAGCCACGATTTTTCATCCCACCATATTCATTGAAGCCTCTGTCTATCATGCCCCCATTCTGCAGGCAGATCTCAGATCAGGATTCTTATCCAGGCAGATAGGCAGCTTTTGGTATACTGCCATGGAAAAATTGTCTCACACCAGTAGCTCACTGGAAAACATCAACTTACTCTTCCTTCAGGATGGACTGGATGCACTTTCGCTGGTAGGCACTGAGAGTAATGGTGGGTTTCTGAGGACTCAGCACTTTTTCCATCTTTCGCTGTTGATAATCTTTTTTCATAGTAACCTTAAGTACCAAACAGATCATAGATATTTTGACTATGGTAATTATTTTACTGTTCACATTTTACAAAACTATATTAGCCACCTGCACCCATTCTCACCTGTTTGATGGCATTGCCCAGATGTCGTAGTTGATCAGGTATCAGCTGCAACTCTTTTTTCATGTCTCTCTCACTGTCGGAGAGAACTGGGAGCTGAGTATGGAAACTGTGAAGCACTTTTTTCATCCTTTAGAAAAAGGAAATGCGGGTTAAGACTGCAAATTATAACAGAAACAGAGTTTGTAATTCAAGAATTTGGTGTCTGAGGAGCTGGGGCACAGAGGAGTTAGGGGACAGTGGTCTTTCCTGACACTTGAAGGGCTGGAGTTCTGCTCTGTAAGTGTGTGGACACTGGGAGTACCCAACACTTGGTAACATCACTGATCCTGAGCAGAGGGAACTGGAGGATGCGTCATGGCGCACCCACCTGTTCATGATGTCTTCTTGTTTTTCTTTGGCTTCCTCATACTTGTCAGCTAGGCGCTCGGCCATCTCCCGTAGGCTTTTCCTGGAGGAATGAAAATCTCTTGGGGTCCATCTGATGTGGCACAGCATCCTGAGTGAGATGCCTTCCACTATTCCTCACTCTTTTCTCCTCTTTGGTTTTGACACCTACCTCTCCTCACGACAGTAATTGAGATCTTCTAGTTGTTTCCTCTTTTGGTCACATAATAATTTGACCCTTCAAAAAAAAGTAGTAGTTAAAGGTTAATGGAAAGCCAGGCTTCCACAGGTGATTACACTGAGCCACCCCTAGCAAGGACCAGTGGCTGTACAACACAGGACACTGTACCTCCGCTGAATCTCTTCCTTGGCCAGGTCCTGCTTGAGAATGTACTGTTCTCTGAACACCTGGGTGGCTCTGCTGATAAGCTGAAGACACTCCTCGGGAGGGGGAGCCAAATCCTTTTCAGATGACCTTTAGAACAGTTTCTGTCATTATTCTCGTTAGCCAGATAAAATAACCAAACAGACAAATCCTAGCTACTTTTTTTGTTGTTCCTGTTTTGGATTTTTGAGACAGGATTTCTCCATGTAACAGCCTTGGATGTCCTGGAACTAGCTTTGTAGACCAGGTTGGCCTCAGAGATCTGTCTGCCTCTGCCTCTTGAGTGCTGGGATTAAAGGTGTGCCCCACCACACCTGGCAAGACCTAGCTAGTTATCACCCCCGTTTAGCACTTTTTAGGTGCCACTTCTGACTAGCTGATGAGATGTGGCTATGTCCTCTCCCACTGCACCACAGTAAGGACAAAAAAAGGCCAAAAGCAAGGATGAACACTTGGTAGCAAGCACACAAAGCCCTAGGTTCAATCCCCACTTTAAAGAAAAAGCCCATTCTTAAAACTGGTATGTCCCAAATCCCATACTTAAGAAATGCTGGGTTGGCGGCACTACGTTGCAAGATGCTTTTAATGTGCTTCTCAAAGGAGTCTGGGGTTTCGGCCAGGATGCGCAGCGGAGACTCTGCCACTTCAGCATCCTCTCGGGTACACAGCAGGGGAGGAGATGCTGGGTGAACTGTACTTCTGCAAAGCAAATAAGTCAGGTCCACTATGGAGCCAGTTGTTGCATTACAGGATGTCTTTAGCACACTTACAAAAACCCATGGACACGAGGACCTAAAGTACAAGGACGTGCCTTCTGTCCTGGAAGGTCATCTTGGGAAGCTCCTATCTAGCCATTTGTCTGAGCATTTTGACCTCTTTAAAATTCTTTTTGAAAAGATCAAGGCAACTCAAACAAGTAAATCCCATGGCAAATCCTCTTGCAAAGGGCTCAAGCCAGCACTATAATACTTACCATTCCTTTTTGGGGCATAGTTTATATTTGATAAATGCTGGTGTGGGGCCAGATTACTGTTGTGTACTATATTTATTTCTACATAACTTCATTTCTAAAAATTACACTCTAGAGCAAACATTTCCATAGGTAATTTCCGAAGGACCGTGAACCTCAGCAGTACGTAACATACTTTGAAGGCAATTCATATTTGAAAGAGTTTTATAAATAAGTGTTAATATACAGATAACTTGTATTTTTGGCAAATGGCAGAAATATGATTAAAAGGTAACCATCTAATTAAGAGTTTTCTCTCCTCTTTGAGACTGATGTTTCTATTGTCCAAATAGTGTGACCAGGCTTTATTTAAAACACTAAAGGTGCCAGGTGGTGGTGGCGGTGGTGGCAGTGGCGCACACCTTTAACCCCAGCACTCTG